GCCACCAGGGAGGGCCACAAAAATCACTTTTTTAATAAACCACTTTCTCATTTGATCTAACCACAATGAGATTGAAAGGGAGTGAAAATAGGGTAGGCAAATAGAACCATATCTGTAAAAAAAAAAAAAAAAAAGTGACCCATGCAGATTAGAGCAAATACTAGGAAAATAATTACTCAGTCACAATTACCAACTGACAATTTTCCTGGGCTCCTTGTCATAAAATACAGAACGAGACTTTTAGGGGATATGAAATATCAAGTGCAGTATGAATATATCACTACTCTTTCACTAGTAGTTTATCCTGCCTTGGAAATTTTCTACTTAAATGTTATTTTCTTCATTGCCACCATTGGTGCTTAGGAAAATACTAACAGTGGAAAATTAAGTCTAGAGCAACCTTTCCAATTCTCTCCTGTCCTTGACCTAGACACCATATTTAGGTCCTAAAAGAAACAAAGACCATTTTGTTCATCAGAACCAGCGATCCTAAGATGCAAACATACCAAAGGAAGCTATGGCCCTAAACCAGAGGCAGCCTTCCTCTGGTCAGCTGAACAGCTCAACATACTAACCCTGGTAACCATTTATAACAATACTGTTGCATGATGGTGTCAAAAAGATGTGTCTCCTCAACATAAAGCGGTTCATTTTAAAAACCCATCTGCTAGTTTGGGGAATTATTGGTCACTTGCATCAATATGCAGCCCAAACTGAAAACTATTATTCAGTAATGATTAAGATTGGTACTTCACTTATTGCTTGTTTGTTCTTACCCCAGATAGTGGGATATTTCAAATTTGCAAAAATAAAACAAACATCCTTAACTGACAAAACTATGGCCAAAATGACACAGTTGTGCCAGAAGATCCCACCTGACCGTAGCACCCTAAGATTTGTCGGTGATTCAAAACAAAAAGAATACTGCTCTCAGGATATTAACTATTGGTCAGCTCAGTGAGGCAGTAGTCTCAATATCACCAATGGGTGGTAGCTGCTTCTAGCTAAAGGTGGACTCCTGACATTCCAAGGATGTCACAGAAATTGTTAACACCACCTTTATTTAGTAACCTCGGGTTCACTATGAAAGATTTTTCTTCTTTTTTAAAGATTTATTTATACATACAGAACAGGTCAGAGGTTCAGGGGCAGTGAGAGGATTCACCAGAGTCAGAGTGGGGAGCAGAACAACGAAGTACAAAGCTGAGGGGAGCAGTGGGCTAGACAGGAGACTTCTGCTGCACCATGTGGATCGCCTCCAGGCAGGGATCAAACACACCAAGCAGCAGCTGCTAGCTTCGCAGTGCTGCGGTTTAACCCACTGCGCCACCATGGAGGGCCCAGATTTTTCTTAAATGTTGGACAAACTTATTTAGTTACATTAAGAAGAAGAGGAAAAACCTGGTCTGCATTCTGAATGCCTCCCTGTTTAAACCAAACCAGGCTCACCGGCATGACACCACTGCTCACAAGGAAGCCCAGTAACATCATGTTTAAGGGAACTGTGCCAGGTTTCACCAGTGAGGGGAAGTCTGCTCAGCACCAGTGTGGCCATGAGCACGTTCTTTGCCAACTAGACAGCCATAAGGTTGCTGTTATTTTATTGGTATCAAATTTCTTGCTTGGCCAGAGTCCCTAAAATATCTCTAAGTAAACACAATGTTCTAAATTCTAAGTTTTATCAAACAAAATTAAAAGAAAAAGAGTTTTCAAAAAATAAACTTATGTTGTTCTTCCAGACTTTATTTTTAATGGTGGCACAATGTTCCTCCAAATGGAGAAAACTTGATAGAACTTTAGCATTTTATTTAATAGTTTGCTTTGCTTTCCAGATAGGGTGAAAGATTAGAAGAAATTTGCTCAAGCATCCCTGCAGCAAGTTACCACTAAACATCCCTGGAGGGGATGAAGGAATTTCTTCAAAGGAGCAACCCACATTCTATAACATTAATTCACAGATGTCTGATTTTTCTTGATCCCTCTGTCTAGGTTCAAAAGCCTCGAAATCACCATCTAGCTCAGGAAAGCACACCATCAACACTCCTCTTCTAGAAAGCAGAAATTGGAATGCTGGGTACACAACAATCAATCAGGAAGGCAAAGTTAAGCACGGAAAGGAAAACCAACAGAGAACACAAGCTGAGGGAATAAAATGCTACCATGTAAGAGATAATAAGGCCTACAGAAAGAGGAATACAAACAATTAAAATGGTTCTTACCAGCTACCACCAATAGTGCAGATTCAGGGTGAGGGAAGAACAGGAGGGCCTGGCCATTACCAAGGAGAAACTATGACTATTACTCAATGACATCAGATTCAGAAATCTTTTTTAAGGATTTATTTATTTATGCATATAGAACTGGGATGTAGGCCAGAGAGGCAGAGGGTGAGAGGATTCACCAGAGGCAGAGTGGGGAGCAGGAACAGGCAGATCCACTGAGATATACTGGTGAGGGCAAGACAGGAGAGGTCTGCTATACCATGTGGATCACCTTTTGGGCCAGGAATCAAATTCATACTGAAGTGGCTGTGGTTTGCTTGCAGTGCTGCGTCCTAACCCGTTGCACCAACAGGGATCAGAAATCTTTTTACTGAGCTTTCATCCCTGCTCATTAAGTCACTGTTAGCTGCCTCAATTAAGTTGCTAATTTCCACATCCCTAAGATGAAGTGATATTACAAAAGAAACTTAATGGTCTGAAAGGTTATAGATCCTACTATGTGTATCAACTTTGTTTTTTAAAGAAAAAGGGGAAGGTCACAAAATAAAAGAATAAATTAATATTCCTCATTCACATCTTCATCTTTCCTCTTCCCTTCCTATCTGTCCTGGTCATCCAAACCCAAACACTAATAAACAGCTCTTTTTCTGTTTTCTCCAAAGAGTTCAGCCTGTTGGAAAGAAAGTTTGGGTATTATCCATGCAGGTTAAGAAGTAATCAGGATGACAAGGTGGGGAAAAAAAGAACAGCAGCGAGTCAGAGTCCCATTGGCTTCTGCCTGTCCTGACTGGCAAAAGCAGAAAGCAAAGCCTCAAACCAGTTCTCTGACAGGGCCCAACGCCTCTGCAGCACCCCCCGTGTAATTACACACTTGAGTGACTGGACTCTGAAGAAAATTGAAGGCCTGAGCTCCGAACAGCTGCCATTTTCTCTCTCCATCACACCAGCGTGATTACTTGAGAAATGAACAGCCCCGGCTCAAAGCTACTCCAGAATTCTCAGAGGAAATATGGCTCCGTGTTCCAATAATGAGATTCTTAAGGCAAGCGTTACTTACAATCACTCCGCAAGAGGAGCGAGCCAAGCCCCTATATCTTACAAATTAGAATTTAAGAAACCCAGCGACAGTCTTGGACGATCATTACTCTTCTGCTGCTCCAAGGATTCTGGGCTTTGGTCTATTTTTAGTGCAGAAAACTGTTAAGTCCTTAAAAAGGTAATCATAATAAAATGAAAAACTCACCATAATTAGCTTCCTAAAAAGGCAAATTCTACCCCATTTTAGGTCCAAACTGACAGAATCATCTACTCCCTCATCATTACTCTTTTCTGCCAGAAAGCATTGGCTTTATCCAAATAAGTATTAGCAATCCCTGTATAAAAATTAAAAAAAGAAAAAAAATCTACTCAGAGATTTCTTTCCTCTTTCAACTAAGGGGAGAAAATCAGCAAATTGCCATATTATACTACTTTGCTGAGTCTTGTCACTTGGGGAAGTTGAAATATTATTTAGTAATGATTTTTTTTTTTTTCGTTTCAAATGCATCTTGTGGTTTCCCCACCATCCAGTCATTTCAGGGTAATAAAAGTAATGAACTCTCCCTGTAATTATACATTTTTAAAAGTCACTATTATTAAAAATGTTATATCCTTGAATTAGACAGCTAGGCAGATAAATGAGTCAATGGGACTGTTGTTAACCAAAGATGTAAGACTGATCATTTCCCTTCCTTCTGAACTATGAAATAAAAAATAGCAATGAAGATTTACTTAGGTTTTCTCTCCCTCCTAGAAGAAATGATGGGATTAAGGTATCAAAAATTCACATTCCACAAAGGGATAAGAAAGGAAACTCTAGGCGCAAAGGGGTACCACAGTGCCCAGAAAAGATAAACATGCAGCACAAGGTAATTGCTCTTGGAGTAGAAGACTCTAAGGTAGTCCTATTGTTCTTATTCCTAAAATCAACTCAACCAGGAAAATCTACGAGTGCAGGACTTGCAAAACATCTTTAAAAATCCTTAAGTTCTGGGCCCTCCCTGGTGGCACAATGGGTTAGGGTGCATCACTACAAGCTGGCCACCGCCACTTCAGTGCAAGTTTGATCCCCACCCCAGATGTGACCTACATGGCGTGGTGGCAGACCTCTCCTAACCTACCCACTGCTCCCCTCAGCAGTGTACTTCGTTGATCTGCCTGTTCTGCTTCCCACTCTGTCTCTGGTGAAGTTTCTCACCACCCCTGCGCTTCTGGCTTATACCCCAGTTCTGTATGCATAAATAAATAAATCTTAACAACAAAAAAAATCCTTAAATTCCTAATTGTTTGGAGGTTCCTCAAACTGCTAAAAATGGAGCTTCCATATGACCCAGCAATCCCACTCCTAGGCATCTACCCAAAAGTCACAAAAACACAACTTCAAAAAGACACCTGCAACCCCATGTTTATTGCTATTTTATTTACAATGGGAAAGACATGGAAACAATCCAAATGCCCAAAAGTAGATGACTGGATTAAAAAGATGTGGTACATACACATAATGGAATATAGCTCAGTGATCAAAAAAGGTAAACTCATGCCTTTTGCATGCCTTTTGCAACAACATGGATGGAACTGGAAAGGAATCATGCTGAGTGAAATAAGCCAGAAAGAAAAAGAAAAAATACCGGGTGGTTTCTCTCATAGCAAGAGCATAAAGGATGGGGGGGTGTGGCGTGGGGGGTGGGAATAATAATGAACAACTATATACCAGAGACATTTTATGGGGGTGGAGTGGGGGGAATGGGATCAAAAATGGGAGTGGGGGGTGCACAGGACTAGTGATGACACACACGTGAATTGGTGATGGGAAGTCCATGGGAATTACAACTGAGATGGGAAAAGGCACAAAATGATGTTAAAAAAAAAAACTATTATAATATAAAAAAAATACCCTTATGGGTACTTAAAAAAAAAAAAGACACTGTCAATAAATACCAAGAATAAAAAAAAAAAATCCTCAAATTCTACCCACTGATCAAATGTACATTGGTCCTACTCACATTTAATGACATCACCTCTCTTCCCATCTGCTACTAACCCTCACAATTACCAGGTTAAGAGTCCAAAAGTATTTCTCTCCTACCAATACAGTGATCTCAGCTAGATTTTCTAATAAATAAAACAAAAAGGGACCAAAGAAAATGCAGAATAAATTTAAATATCTTTGGTGGGGGATGGGCAGCACTAGACTTCTAATGGCTGTTTTTGAAGTTTTATACATGAGAGACACTGCTTATATTCATGGAAAAAGCAAGTTATAATAAAAAAAAAAAGTACACTGGCTACTAAGACTCAGATTGCTACGATCATGAGTGATAACAGGAATGGGGAAGCATAGAGCATCTCTAAGAAGAATAAAGACCTTTGAGTCCCTGTGCATGATTATATGCATAATGGCCATAGCAATCTCTTACTGACTGGAGCAGGTTCCTTCAGGTCAAGGACAAAGTCAGGCATGGTACCTCTAAATCTGAAACCGAATCCCCACTTATCCCACAACTCTAAAAGACACAAACTTTTCCTCTGACCAAGCTAACAGGAAACTACTTTTAAAAATAATTGGCCATCTATGAGATCTGAGAAATGGTACTCACAATAAGCATTGTAACCAGAAGATTCTTCTTGGTGACTTGAGCATGAGAGAAGATGTAGTTCAGCACTGTGTTCATATCACTTTTGTTCTCCTCCCGAAGGGCAAACACACATTTGTCATAGTGACCTACAAGAAGCAAAAAGAATTGATCCTCACACATGGTTGTTCATATTTAGATGCGATTTGCTTCTTAGTGTAACTCAACTAATAAGCAATGAGAAGAAACAGCTGATGAGTGCTCTTAGCTGGATTTGTACAGAATCGGCAGTGTGGTTTAGTAAAAGGAACCCTGGATTAGGAGACAGGCAAATTGCTATGACCTCTGGGTGGGCTCAAGCTGGGCTGTTACCAATTTACTTTGTGCTCCTGGACATGATACATTTTCTCTCTGGGCCTTAATTTCATTTAAAAAAAAGTGGGGAGTGGGGGTTGAGGTTGTGGGAAGATGTGCCTTAGACTAAGGGATTGGAGGATAACTGCAAACACCGCACCTCTAGTCACTGAAGCTTCCTGGAGTGACTTCTTTAGACTAGAGAAGGTTCCACTGATTAGAGAAGAAATGTTAATACCACTAAATCTGATGCTTTATAAAATCCATTCCGGCTTGAGATTTTGGTTTCAGGTTTGATTCACTGAAAAATGTTTCATCCTAAATAGAAGGAACAGTTTCACATCAAACCCAAATCCCAACAAATATCAAAAGCTACAGAAGTATTGGTGCTTGCTATCTTTGGAATCAACACTTCTCCCTGCTGTAAATCCATGAACAACTAAGCAATGCCCATGAATTCTAAATCCAAGCTAAGGCACAGATCAAGGGGAACCTTGCACTTAGTTGAAAGTCTGTAGAGAGATCAAGTTATGTATATTTTCAATGACCTTTCACAAGGCCACCACGGGTAATTAAGTTCTGGTTAGGAAATCTGTTTTCCAAGGAAGCACAAGTTCAGGTATATTGTAGAGGTATCTACAATGGGATATTACGTAATATTCAGCTCTTTAGAAAAAGTTTGTCTTAGAATTAAATTTCCAAAGAAAGGAGATGTAGGCCCAGAATTGTATGAAAATACTAAAGGATTATCACCTCAGCTCAGAACCCACATTAAGCTACAAACCAGAACAGTGGCATTCAAACTGCATTACCATGGATTCCTGTCAACTAAGTACATCCAACCTGGACAACTCGCTTTTACCTGTTTTAAATATTATAGGTTAACATAGGATGTTTTCTTTCCCGAAATGAAACTACAATATATTTGAAAAGGAGTGTATGACTATCCTTACAGGATCTGAGAAATATAGAGAGTTGCCACCTTCATAAAAAACCCATGTACGGCGCTCCCTGGTGGTGCAATGGGTTAGGATGCAGCACTGCAAGCTGGCAGCAGCCGCTTCAGTGTGAGCTGGATTCCCGCCCCAGATGTGACCCACATGGCGTGGTGGCAGACCTCTCCTAACCTACCCACTGCTCCCTTCAGCAGTGTACTTCGTTGATCTGCCTGTTCTGCTCCCCACTATGTCTCTGGTGAAGCCTCTCACCGACCCTGTACCTCTGGCTTGTACCGCAGTTCTGTTTGAATAAATAAAGAAAATAAAATAAAAGAAATGCTTAGACTACTGCAAAAAACAAACCAAAAAAAAAAAAAAAAAACAAGAAAACCCATGTACAACAAAACAGATGCTGTTTAAAAATTACTATCTTATATAAATTCTTATTTCTCCCTACCAAGATTTAGTTTTGAAGTACCAACAGAAATATATCTTGGTAACGAATTATTTGGATCAGGGGGAAAAAAATTTACCCAGGGGGGAGGCAGCTTGTAAGCAGAAAGAAAGCAATGATACCAAGTGTACTCTTTTTTAAAAAGTTCTCACAATATATATATATATAAACAACCCAAACATCTAAGTAACTACCATTTACGCTAATAGAACATATTTAATATCTTTGAAGGACTATGTGCTCTTTAGAAACAAAGTTAAATTTTAGGTTAATTCCTCTTTTGCTTTTCTTTACATTTATCACAAATGGATGAAAGTTTCATTTTTCTTGTTTTTCAACTTGATAAAAACGTAATCATTATGAATGGATCCTTCTGTTACTTACCTCTCACCCTCAACACTGTTTTTAAGATTCAGCTTTTTGTTTACAGGTATATCTTGATTCATCCATGCTCACTCTTATATAATAAATGGCTGTATAAGTATGCTGAAATTCAATAATGCTTGTGTACATTTGGATTGTTTTTTTTTCCTTACAAATAATGCTACACTATATAGCTCTGTACATGCCTCTTAACAAGCATATTTACGAGTTTCTCTAGAGTATATTACCCAGTAGTGAAATTGCTAAGTTGACAAATAAAAAAATATTCAACTCTCTTAAAAGTTGATAAGCCATACACATCTTCAAACAACTAGCAACAACAAATGTTGGCGAGGATGTGGAGAAAAAGGAACTCTCCAGCACTGCTGGTGGGAATGCAAACTAGTACAACACTATGAAAAACTGTTTGGAGGTTCCTCAAACTGCTAAACATGGAGCTTCCCTACGACCCAGCAATCCCACTCCTAGGTATCTACCCAAAAGACACAAAAACACTGATTGAAAAAGATACTTGTACCCCCATGTTTATTGCTGCTTTATTTACAATTGGAAAAACATGGAAGCAGCCCAAATGCCCAAAAGTAGATGACTGGATAAAAAAGATGTGGCACATATACACAATGAAATATTACTCAGCAACCAAAAAAGAGAAATACATGTCTTTTGCAGCAACTTGGATGGAGCTGGAAAAGATCATGCTTAATGAGATAAGCCAGAAAGAGAAAGAAAAATATCAGATGGTTTCACTCATAGCAGGAGTATAATGGACCAGGCGAGAAAATAACAAAAATAATGAACAACCATATACCAGAGACATTTTGTGGGGGTGGAGTGGGGAATGGGATCAAAAATGGGGGAAGGGAGGGAAATGCACGGGACTATGGTGGTGGCACACGGGTGATTTGGTGATGGGAAACCCGCAGGGATTACAATCGAGATGGAAAAAAAAAATGTGCAAAATGATATAAAAATAAACTTTTGTAATAATTAAAAAAAAAAGTTGATAAGCCATTTTCCAAAGTGGTTATACCAAATGTGTATTTCCTCTTAGAGAAACAATGAAAGATTTTTTCCTTTAATTTTTGCCAATCTTGTTGTGGTTTTGGAACATGTTTCTCTAATTAGTGATTAGATTAAGCATCTTTTATAAGTTTATGGCTCATTTGTGCTTCCTCTTCTGTGAATTGTCTTTTGCCTATTTTTCTATTAGTTTTATTTTGATTCACTTATTGATTCATAGCAGTTCCCTAAATATTCAAGACACTAATCTTGTTAGTTCTAAATATCATCTTCTATTCTGAGGCTTGTATTTTTAGTTTCTTCCTAGTATCTTTTCATAAAAAGTAGTTCATTAGGGTTGAATTAATAACCCTTTTCCTATATAATTTGTGCTTGCTTTGTCTTATATGAAAAAATCTTCTCTACCCTAAAATCACAAGGCATTCTCCAAAAATTTTAGTAGTTTTCACTCTTTTGTACATCTGAAATTGATTTTTATGTGTACAACATAAGACAGGGCTCCAATTTCTTCTTTTTTATTATTTTACAAATGAATAACCCACTGTCCCATTGTCATTTATTGAAAAGCCTATCTTTTCCACATTATGTACATTGTCTGCGTTGTCATAGAGAAATTTTAAAGTATGTATGGATCTCTCTTGATTATTATGTTCCATGGGCCTATTAATCTGTCCTTATACCAACATCACAATCTCTTCAGTAATATGGCTTTATATTAAATGTTGATATTTAACTGGATAAATCTTTCCACATTTACATAAAAGACTTCTCTTTCATGTAAATTATGGAATTAGCTGGACAGATTCAACATAAATATCATAGTAGAATTTTTATTAGAAAATCAATAAATCTACACATGAATTCAAGGACAATCAACACTTTGCAAGTACATATTCCAATCCAAGGCCATAATTTTTATTGGGATCTTCTTCATTACTTATGGCTTATAATTTTCTCCAAAGATTTGTTTTCTGTTACTTATTGTCAAAGGCTTTTTTACCTTATATCTAAAGAGAAGGACCATGTGTTTTTCCTTTTTTAATCTACCACATGACATAAGCACTAATTGGTTTTGCCGATTATAATAAAACTTGTTTTCGTGGGGTAAAAACTTGGTAGAGATGTATTATTTTGTACATTGCTGGATTACAAGTGCAAAATTTTCTTGAGGATTTTGCTGGCAGTGAGTGGCAAAGTTATCCTTCAAAAGGAGCAAAACTGACAGAGGAAAAAAATCTTATTTCAAATGGTGTTTCACTGCCATCTTGTGGCAGAAAGTACTATCTGCAGTACATGACTTCAAATTTTTAAACCAGAGTGTTTCACATTTAGAGACTTTACACATCACTTAGTGAAGCTCTTCAGAGAAAGCCTGGGATAAATTCCCCCTAAATGATACAGTGAAAAGACTGGAAGGTCTGAATCTTTTCAGATATCTATGGTTCAATCCATGGATTAGATGCTGAGAGCCAAGCTCTTCAATTTCAACCTGGTCATGATTCAACCAACTCTCATCGTACGAGGTCAAGAAGATGTCAACAGGGAATGTTAATCTCTACTAGAAAAATTATCTGAGCCCTTTCCCAGAAGCATATTGGATTCACAATCTCATCAAACTTTATGTTGTTATTTTTTGTTTGGCACTAGTGGGATATGAAGGTTTTGTTTTAAAGGAAGTGGTGAAAGGAAGAAAAGTTAGCACAAGAGTTAGTGGCAGGATGTAGTGGCTCAGCTGATCCAGGGTACTACAGAGGAACTTTCTGAGACACAGAATCCTCAGAAGGGTCTTACCATTCTGGAACTGGGTCTCTACCCGCAGGTACTGCCGCAGCAGGTCCATCACTACAGCCTTCATGTGCCCTCGGATGCCACTTCGGTACCTAATCAAACAGAAGATGACTGCTGCAAAATTGGACAGACTAACAATGCTATTAAATAACAGATATTTATTAATAACTCCAGAGCCCAGCTTTACTTTCTAGACCTTTCACACAACTGCTTTCCCTTAAATATAGGGCAGCACAAGGGCTAGCCTGGAGTCAACCAGATAAATTAAAATTCCCAGCCTAAAAGAAATCTGTCTATTGATAAGGTTTTTATAAGGGCAATGGAAAAAGAAGAGCAAAACAAAAATAAAGCTACTTCATAGCCCTGATTTGTTTCCTCCTGCTAAGTAGAAATGATTACCACAATCTTCAATTATCTAACAGTATCTGAAAAATTTATGAGAATATTAAAGTTGGAAAGTTCCATTAATATCCCTTTACTACAACAGTTGACTCCATAAGCTAAGAAGAATAAGTGTCACACTGGGCCCAATGCCAGAAGAAATATTTAGAGTTTTAAAATTGTAAGGAAAACCTGGCCCAAGGACTTTCTGCAGCCACACATCACCAGGTCCTTGCTCAGGTCAAGAAGCACCCTTCCTTCAGGCCCCTGTGCATTTAGTGGAGTTAGAGGTACTGAGCAGGGTGGTAATCACCTGTCTGGCTTTGTTCAATGCAGATATCATTTGGAACAGAAAAAATAACCCAGAAACTTGGGTTAAAAATGGATTTCAATACCAGTTTTTTACTCAGTGAATACAGGTCACAGCAAACTGAAGAAAGGTCCAGACTTCTATAAAATATTTCACTACAAATGTGGTTACGAGAAAGGATTTCAAAAGTCATCCACATAACTTCCCACTTAACTGCGAAATAGCTACCCTCTAAATGCACAAAATCATGCTGGTGTTTGGGGTTAGGATTTATACTCAATAATAAATATATGAAACTCAAAAAAATAAGAAAATTGTAAAGAAAACAATATTTTGTACCTTCATAGTAGATACAGAATAGAAGGACATCATCAGAAATACTGAGTTTGAGAATGAGCTCACAATTCTAAAATATTTTGAATATAAGGTATTTTCTAAGACATACAATACTTTGTAATTTCTCTAAATCAAAGCTGAGGTAAATCTCTTTCTGACTACTTAGGAGAAAGGAAAGTATGGGTAAGGATTAGTTAGATCTGGGAGTCTGGAGCTACATGTGATTACCTCTGGACCAGCTGGACAATGCTCTGAGTGTTCATGAAGAAGACTTCTCGTTCAGATTTCCGGTTCAATGTAGCTGCATGACTATCTAGGATGTTGGCAATCTAACGCAAAAAAAGGGGAGAAAATGAAGCCCTTCCCAGCAGTGGGACCCAAAGCATTAGTCTGTACAACATCGCCACTAACAATCTTCTTAATTATAACATGATTTCTGTCTTTCACACGCTGAGAGCGGCTGGAAGTTGCAAGGCACAGTTTAGGGACTTGTTTTAGTAAGTGAGCAACAGTGATCCCTTTTCACCATTTCCCAGGGGATCTAATGATTGCACCACAAAAAAAAAACTTTTTTACCAGAAGCCCTAATAGGCAAAAGATATGCTTAAGGTCAAGGCTCAACCTTTAATCCCACTGGCCTAACTTTACTTCCCACATGTAAATTTGTTGTATAAGCTAAGGGGGAGCATACTGTTGAGGTAGCACAAAATCTCTGATCATAAAATTCTACTTTAAATTTACAAAAATATCCCAATTAAGGCACAGCCCTATGTTTGTGCCCCATCAGGGCATAAACCGCTACAGTCTACATGGCCAGAGTATGTGTTTCTTGTAACCACACATTTCGCATATACTACTTTCATTATTGGGCTGGTGTCCTGAGGCAATGCAGTGACCAGCACAATGCTTAAAACCTCAAAAGCACAACATCCAGTGTAAGAAGGATGCATACAGAAAACAGTTCCACAGTGAACTCCAGCACTGGTAGCCAGCAGAAAATGATGATGTGTTCCCTTATAAATACCTGCTGGCTAGGAAACTGACAGAGGACTGATGTGATGTTGCTAGCATACTGAGCCATTTCCTTCTTGATAGACTTCTCCACATTGAGGGGAATACGTCCTGAGACACTGGTCATGATATCTTGCAATTCCAGGAGTGGCAAAGAGGGATCTCTGAGGGTCTTCATCAACCGCTCCACCCAGTCTTTTACCTGAGAAGAAGGAAATGTTAAGATCCAGACAAAAACAACACAACTCCCAAAATAAAATGATATGTCTGAATTCACTATCACATAATTCTCTGAAACTTAAATATAAGCATCTAACTTAACACTGCCCTTATCATCTAGTTTCATTTCTAATGAAATATGAAGCCAATGACAGATGAAGAGGCAAGGATTTAGGATTTCAAATCCCACATCAAAAAGTGGGTGAGTTCCAAATCAAAATTACAGTAAGATACCACTTTATACTAGAAAGAATGGCACATATTAAAAAAAAATAGCAACAACAAATGTCAGCAAGAATGTGGAGAAAAGGGAACTCTCCTACGTTGCTGGTGGGAGTGCAAACTGGTGCAATCACTATGGAAAGCTGTGTGGAGGTTCCTCCGCCTACTAAAACGGGGTTTCCATATGACCCAGCAATTCCACTCCTAGGAATCTACCCAAAGAACACAAAGACATTAATCCAAAATGATACCTGCAACTCTGTACTTACTGCACTGCAGCACTACTTATAATAGGTAAGCTTGGAAACAACTCAAATACCCAGAAACAAAATGACTGGATCAAGAATGTGGTATATAAACATTCAGTGGAATCAAAATTCAGCAATCAAAAAAGAAAAACTAATGCAATTCACAGCAATGTAGATGGAGCTAGAAGGAGTTATGCTCAGTGAAAAAGTCAGAAGAAAAAAAAAAATCAGAAGGTTTCAATTATAGGAAGAATATAGGGGAACCAAATATGAGATCAGGGGAAAAATAATAACAATCAAAACAAAACAAGAATAAACAGACAACTATTAATCAAAGATTTTTGCAGGGAAGGGGGGAAGAGAGAGGGATAATAACAAGGGGAAGGAAGACCACAAGGGACTATGTGATGGTGCACAGATGAACTGTTGGTGGATATTCTATAGTGATACACCTGAGAAAAGAAAGCAAAGATTGCACAAAAATGAACAACGATGTAAAACATAAATAAAGGAATAATTAAAGAAAAAAAAAAAGTGGGTGAGTTCCAAGTAGCTTTCTTTCCTTTCCTCTTAAGAAATCCTTATACAGGCCCTCCCTGGTGGCGCAGCGGGTTAAAGCACAGCACTGTGAATCTAAAGCCGCTTCCGCATGAGTTCGATTCCCGCCTGCCCTGGAGGTGACCACATGGCACAGCAGACCTCTCCTGACCCACCTGCTGCTCCCCTCAGCAGTGTACTTCATCAATCTGCCTGTTCTGTTCCCCACTCTATCTCTAGTGAAGCCTCTCACTGCCCCTGAGCCTCTGGCCTGTACCCCAGTTCTGTATGCACAAATAAATAAATCTTAAAAAAAAATAATAATAATCCTTATACAACTTCAAACTATTTTGAAGAACAGATACCCTATTTGTACATCCCTTTCCCAAGAGAAGTGATTCATACCCTGCTGCTAAAGAAAGGGTCTGGAAGACAGTATCCATTCATTACGTTGACCAGATTATCCAGGACATAGTGGAACACTCGATGGAGCTTCTCGCCTCTGAGCGCCGTGCTCTGGATCTGTGGCAGACTGCCAGTGTGAAGCTCAGCCTGTCAAGCCCAATGAGAGATCAAGTCATCCACTGCCTTATACTCAGGGTGCAAATACAACACTGAGTCTTAAGATCATCATTCAAAATCGAGACATTCCTTCACTATACCAAGCTACAAAAATAGAAGTCAATGGAGAAAGCATCATGATAAAATCACTGAATCTTAGTACCATATTAATTCTGTAATACTATAGGCACAAATAAAAAGCTTAAGACCTGGGCAATTCTGGAAGGAGATAGGGGGACAAGGGGCTTTGAAAACAAAACTAGCAAATCAAGCACTGAAATCACCCCTTAATCTACCTCTACCAAATAATCCATTCTTGACGCATAATAGCCAAAGCATCACCTACTTACCTGCTGAACCTTGCTGGGATTGTCCAGCTGCATTTTGGCTATTACACAGCCTGGGTCAAGAGCTGCTCCAGGCCGCTTAACGTAATGGATGCAGCCAGACTCTGCAGCTGTTAAGGTCATTACCATCTTCATCACCTTCAGTGAAAAATAAGACAGAGTTTAACCTCTCTTTATACAGATAAATGATTCAAAGGCCAGTTTTCCTTAGCATCCAAGTTGGACTGTACCCAATTCAATCTAGAAAAATGGTAATTTATCAAAATCTCTAAGGACTACCAAGGCAAGCAATCAGAAAATCTCTCCGGGCCCAGTTTTATAGATTAATGACAATTACTAACTTTTCTTATTTCTAACATTTAAATTCATTTTGTTCAGTTTGTGTTTTTACTTGCTTTTTGTATTTTACAAGTGATGCAAAATTTAACTTCCTCATATTCTAAGTCTAGGTACTCCCTTTGTATATCTATCTAAGATATCTAGGACCTCCATGGTGGTGCAGGGGTTAAGTCTCAGCACTATGAATCTATCGGCAGCCACTGCCACAGAAGCTCAATCCCCAGCCATGGAGGTGACCCACATGGAGCAGCAGACTTCTCCTGTCTTGCCATTGCTCCCCTCAGCAGTGTATTTCAATACATCTGCCTGTTTTGCTCCCATTCTGTCTCTGCTGGATCCTCTCACCATCTCCCCACACCTCTGGCCTACACTCCATCTCTTATATGCAGAAATAAAATAAATCTTTAAAAACAGAATAAATATCCAAGTCAGAACCTAGGAGTCATTACTCCATTATGTACCTTATCTACTGATTACCAAGCCCAGCAAAGTGTATTTTCTAAACCTCTCTCCAAAATCTTCTCTTGCCATCTTCTGGTATAGGTGTTAATCACATCTGGCCCAGAGTACTTCAGAAAGCTCTCAATACACTTCCAACAAGATCACCAAAAGCCATCAATCTAGAGCCTGAATCTCACTGTATATTACACTAAAATTCTTCAATGATTCCCAACTACCTTCAAGATAGTCTAAGCTTCTCAGTAAGTCTTACAGGATACTCCATGTTCTATTTAGCATTCTTGCTTGCCACTTTCCATTAAACTTGGCTGATTCTCAAATAATTAGTATTTGTAGTTAACAAAATATACTATAGTCTCTTGGATCTGTGCCTTTGTAGATGCTGTTCCTTCAACTCTAAATATTCTTCCTTGCCCTTCTTTACCTGTTCTATTACTATTTATCTTTCAAAATTAGATCAAGTGTTCCTTCTTTAAGGAAGTCCTCCTTTATTACCTACCCACAGCCAACTAGCCCTGTTTTGGTATGCACTAGACAGCCCTCTGCACTCTTTACTTAGCTGTCTTAGAATTCACATTCTATTACATGTCTCTTTTGTGGCCACAATTCACCTATCATTTTTTTCTGTACCACAACACCCAGTTCAGTGTTGTCACCTACTATGTATTGACAGAGCTAACGCTCTCTCCTCTGTCAAAGAAAAACTGTGGGCTTTTAATTTGTTTTAAAATCCTAAGGTTCACAGCCCAATTAAACCTATAGATCCTGTTTCCATTCTATTTCATGTTAACTCTTCAGTCCTAGTCCACTCCAGCCAGTCCTTTTCCTACCTTCCCTCCTAAGACCTGAAAAGTCCATTTGTCACTCTAACCTCAATCTCAGCATAGCACTGTCCAGCAAACACATGGCCTCCATCTTCCACAATGTACTGGATTAACTTCCCAGCAGAAGGTGAGCGCATCACTGAAGGGTCATTCTCCTTCTCAAACACACAGGTTTTATTGCCAATTGTGATGCGATATCTAAGAAACAGGGGACATATGCAAGCTAATAAAATATTTTAGGCTAAAATAAAATGTTGGTCTTACAAAAAAGGAAAAATTTTTCTGTACACATGCGCATTTTACACACAAACACAGACACACATTGTGTGTGCACCATGCCAAATAAGCAGAATTTTCTTCTGTAAGGTTCAGATTAAATAAATCAAAGCACATTTATGCAATGGAATACTACACAGTCATTAAAAAGAACAGACAGCTTTTTAAAAAACAAACCACTTGAAGATAATAATGACGTAACAGCTAATACTTCTTGGTCCCTTACTATGATTCTAGTTAATGTTCTTAGCACTTTACATGAGTCAGTACATTTTGCTGTCAAAACTTACTGGATATTGATGTTAAACAGTCTATGATACATGTTAAAGAGAAAAGGTAAAGAACAGCATCCAAAAGTTATTTGCAAAAGTATTTAAAAGAAAAATGTAGTTATACATATATGTAACTTGTATGTATATGTAAAATTTCTGCAGAAACTATTAACCATGGATCCTTATAAAGATGGGAACTTAATACTCATTTTCTACTCACATTGGAGTGGCAGAGTGAGTGTACTTCTAATTGCCAATACATTTTGTACTCTTAAAATTTGTGTTAAGTACCAAAAGGACCTGGAAAAATCCTATGACAAATGAGAGGAAGCTGTGATGTAATGACCAACGAAAGGATCTCCAACAGTCATTCACCTATCCACTTCCTCCTTCATGTATGTGGTATAGCTGCTGCCATCATAGGATAAGAGCAGTCCTCCATCACTCAGTCGATGCACATCTACTTCTACACATGAGCCATTCATGATCACCACATAGGAGTTGGGGGACTGTCGAGTCACCTATAGAGAATGAAGCCAGAAGGGCAAGTTATTATGATCCTCCTAAGTAAAATCACAGACAAAATTTCAGTAACTCAGATATAAGCAAGAAAAATATATCAGGAAGGAAAGAAATTCATGGCCCTGGTACTCTTCACATTAAGGTCTGTGGGCACAGCTCAGCCAAGCTGCAAGTATATAGGGAGACCTTGGATGCTACTCCCTGCCTAGGATGTTCTCTCCATTATCTCTCAGCTCTATCTGTAAAGTTAAAGAACAACTAAAACATTTTCATAGAATCAAATACCAAATTGAGGCTATTGCCATTTATGATGACTATAATTTCATTAACACCTTAGTAAAACAAAATTCTCCAATATTTCTTGACCTCAGGAGAGAAAGCTAGTTAAAAAAGAAAAGACAAAACATAAGGTTAGGCTTCAGCATACCTTAAGTACATACTTGACTCCCTCATAGATAAGTTCAACATCTACTGTATTCAGAAGTGTATGAGCAGGAAGGACCTGACCCCTGAAAGGAAAGTAATGTAAGAAACACTAAAAAAGTGCCAAACATTTATGAGAGATTCTCAAAGATTATAGATTACAACACTTTCTGGCATTTCAAGACTGGAAACAATCTAAGAACAAGCAGTAAGGGACTGATATATGATTAAAGAGCCATGCAGTGATTTATTATGCAATCAATAAAAAGAAAACAAAAAATTTTATGTACTAATTCACACTTGACCTTTTAAAAAATATTAAGTAAAAACCACAAGTAAAATGGTGTGTGCTACCACTGTATTTTTTAAAAATAGGGGGAAGGATGAAACAAGTATTCTATGTATATGCTTATATAGATTTACCATATATGTCTAGAAGTATGTCTAGAAGCCTTCTTCTATATGTCTAGAAGCCTTATAGAAGAAACTGGTAAAATGGATTGACCACAGAAAAGGAAACTGAATCATCAAGGAACAGAGAGGTAAAGAGATTTTTCATTACATAATATGCGTGCGCGTGTGTGTGTGTGTGCTATGTAATACATATTAATATACATACTAAGGCCTTTTAAAAAGATTTATTTATTTATGCATACAAGAACTGGGGTACAGGCCAGATGTGTAAGGGTGAGAGGATTGACCAGAGACAGATTGGTAAACTGAACAGATGAACTGACTGAAACACACTGCTAAGGGGAGAAACAGGTGAGACAGGAGAGATCTGCTATGCCATGTGGGTCACCTCTGGGGCGGGGATCGAAATCTTGCTCCAGGGGTTGTAGCAAGCATCATCTTGCTGTGTTTTAACCCCTTGTGTCACTAGGGAGGCCCCAGTATTAAGACTTTTGAATTAATTTTGTACTATATGAATGAATATATTACCTGTTCTTGAAAATTAAAATTAAAATTTTTAAAGGCTTAGTGCAATCAACCTTCCTCTACAATTACCAACTGGGATTTATTTGGGATCTTTAAATAAAAAATTTTATTGAGGGTTTTTATTGACAACAAGGGAAACATTGTCAAGAGACTTGATAAAAACACAGAGAGGGAGTGGTAAAATGAGTATGGCAGTTATTAATAGCTAATCAACTGGCAAAGAACTCATGAAGTTATTAGAACTATTTGTACAACTGTAATAAGTCTGAATTACATAAAAATACAAGTTTTAAAAATAAGGTTAAAAAGGAAGGGTAAATTTGTACAAGAGATTTTTCATTTGTGTTTCAGTAATAAAAGCATGTAACTAGGGTAGAGAGTACATGTTGAAGAATAGAAATAAGACAAACTGAATTAGTAGAAAGGGGTCAAAGCATATAGGAAACTGAAAGTTATACTCAGGGATTGAGATTAATAGAGAAGGGTACTATGTGTTCCTAAAGGCTTTTGTGCATGAGAGTAACTTTGATAAGTAAAGATACTTATCAAAGATTTGAATTGAAATCTGTTTCAATTTAAAAACTTTTGTTCCTTTTCTTCCTTTTGTACACCTCAAAAGGTAGCTGATAGAAGTCTAACTACACAGAAAGAAACAAAGTGATTAAAGTGTCCTAAAGTGATTGGCCCCTTGGATCATTCCTCTGGGGACTCAAGAACAGCTTAGGCTTGAGAACCAGTGTTAAAAATTAGTTTAACCCAAAACTGGAAAGTCTCATGAGGTCATCTTGAATATCAGCTTCAGTTATTAATTCTGAAATGTGTTGCAGGTAATATGAAATATTCAGAGTTCAAAGCTACAAAGAAATACCAGATTTCCATTAGCAGAGTTTAGCGGTATTTTATGTTTTGTATAGGACAGAATGTTTACTTCAGCTGGATTCACTTTTTAAAAAAGCAGCCTACCCTAACTGTGATATAAGTTGATTTATCTGCAGTTAGAGCCCCAAAATAATTTGTCACAAACCCCTACGTGCCTCTCTCCCCTACTGCAGGGTCAGTGAATAACCAATTAGCAAAGAGAAGCTACCAGGCACAGAGGGAATCAATGGGTCTTTGAACTTCAGTCCTATCCTCTGCACCACTGACTGGAAGGCTATAAGAAACAAAACCTACCTTTCTAAGGAATGGAGGAAGTTAGAGATGCTGTTCCGCAGGCTCACATCTGCCACATGGAGAGCCCCACACACAACTCCCAACATGGTGTCAGGCCGCTCTGCCTGAAAGGACCAAAGAGGGCAGATCAAAAGCATGGACACCAGGGTCTCTCAATTTAAATCAGGCTCAAAGTTGTTGTGAAGAAACAGCCAACACTGGGAATTTCCACCTTTACTACACAAATGACTTTTGAGATTAAAAACATATTCTCTTGTAGTTAAAAACACGTTTTACTTTTAGAACTTGAACAGAGGCCTCATTTGAATAGAGATGAAAAAAATACATTTCCCTCGATTCGCCCTAAGATTTCCATTGAGCCCATCAAAACCAAGAACAACTCAAAAACAAGCTTTTGTTAGAAATAAATTCAGAAAGGTACAAAGATTTGGCTACTGGAAACACTGCAGATAATTTAAAATCTAAATCTGAAAACTGTATAAAAGTTTGGGTAATTTAGAACAGCCCAGCCATCTGGACCAGGGGTAATTCTGTTAGTTTAAATGACCCTGGTCATCAGCACTAGTGTTGGTAACCCTGAACCAGATTTAACATAAAATAAGTAAAAAGAAGTATTTCAAACATACTTGGCATGTAATACTAGAACATAAAAAATGACTGTGTAACACCAGGCATGGGAACTCTTGAGTACTAAAATTACACTGACTCAGACTTTTCCAAGCAGATAAAGAAACATTTACATTAGAATCAAATTTTATCTAGTAACATGGATGAATCACACCCCATACCATAAAAACCCAATCGTAGAAGTTGTTTGTGCAAATGGAGAAATACGCACCTGTACTTTTTCTGCTATCAATCTGTCTAGCCAGCCAGTGTCAATTCTATTCAACTGAAAGCTTTCAGTCTCCAACAATTTGATCAGGTATTCAACTGTCGTTCGAAAGTCACCCCGAATGGATAGCTCCTTTAAAGCCACTACCATGTTTCTATGAGAAGAACAGAAGCAAATCTATTTTAGCAACACATGTTTTAGTGTTTTTGCAGCCAGATTAGAGAGTCACTTCATTTCTTTGGCATCTTAGGAGGGAAAAGAGAAAGACAACACCAAGAAGAAATGAGGGTTCAAATTTAAGCATGCTCATTCACACAAAATAATCCAGGTCGGAGCACAGGCAAGAAGTCAGTTTATGAATTTTGACTGATATTACCATTAGAACATCAACAAATCACACATATTTCACTATACAGAGGACAGGCCAAATGATGTGCTTTCACCTCCAAGGTTTCAATCATTCCATTTATTTATTGCAAGTGAATCAGAACTAGGGTATAAGTCTCCCCTCTTCGAGCCTTATTTAGTTAAGATATAATTTATATACAATAAAATATACTTTTTTTAAAGTATAATGTTCAGTGAATTTTGACAGCTCCTTATACTTGACTTTGAAGATTTCCATGCAATGAAAAGGTATAGTCAGGCACTAGCCTGACAAATGCATGTTGAGTATTCTTTGACACTAAATTTAGACATCAGTGGAATAATGTGCTCATTACTTACATTACTTCCTAACTAAAGGTAAAAATGATCTAATTTTAACATTTTGAACACTATGGGATTTTTTTTCTCTGTATTTATGTCCAATGTCTGTCCTTCAACAAATACTTATGCATCTCACAGATTCAAGACACATAACAGGCTCATGAGGGAGACAGAATAGAGATACAGTAGTCATTTTCAAAGTATGTGGTAGAATGTCATAGAGTCAGTAGAGAACTGTAAGCAATGCTGGAGAGCTCCCAGGAAGGAAGAAAGTCTATGGCATTATGAAGAATGTGGAATCTAATATGGGCTTATGACTGAGATAGGAATATTGGTCCAGGAGGTCCAAGCATTGCCTCAACCTAGAATATTACTGTTTCCCACCTCCTCTTGTGATCATGCCTGACCTGGCCTATTCCTATTCATTTTCAGGTATCAGTCTAGATGCTCCTTCCTTCTGGGAAGCATTCCCTAACTAAGTTAACTGATGTCCCTATATGTTCATAATACACCTTTATATAATTCGACTATCACAGCACTTACTACATCATTTTTTATGGTTTATTTGCTTCCCTTTCTCTGGTTATAAAGTTCTTTTTTTTTTTTGTCAATATGAACTTTTTACTTATTTATATATTTAAAAATTTTTTTTTACATCATTCTTCATTTTGTGCATTTTTTCATTGCAGTTTAATCCCAACACCAATACATGGGTGTGCCATCACAATACAGTGCATTCTTCCCACTCCAGTTCGATCCCGTTCCTCTTTCCACCCCCATAAAATGTCTCTAGTTTATAGTTGGTCATTGCTTTCATTTTTACTCGATCACATTTGTTTCTCTCTCTCTTTTTGCCCCCCGTTATCAAGTTCTAAGAGGGCATGTAGATTTCATTCAGGTCCTCAGTATATTGCTATTACGAATACATGGTAAATGTTCAGGAACTATTTATTGAAGAGTGAACAAATGGGCAAAAGGAAAAAAAGAAAGAAAAGAAAGGACAGAAGTAAGTAACAACTGTCTTCAGATAATGTCATGATTGAGCAAAGGGTGTAAGGAATTAGTAGCCAATCCACTCATTCAACATTTACTGAATGTTTACTATGGTCCAGGGGTGTGGCAGCAACAAGATAGATATGGTTCTCTTCTTTTGGTTACCAGGCAATAAGTTATGGGAAATGATTCTGGAAATAAGGGTTAGAGCTATTCTGGAGAACAAGAATATGAACACCATGCTGAAGCACTCACACCTAATGCCAAGAAGAAAGAAAGAAAAAAACAGAATGAACTTTAAGACATGGTATCAAGAAGCAAGCTTATTATAGAACCCATTTTTGGGGGGGTGTTTTCTTTTAAAAAATTTTTAATGTATTTTTGTATTTTTTATTTAAACTCATTTTTTAATATGCTAAAAGTTAGCCTAATTAGTTTTACGCTATATAGAAATATATAGAGCAGATCAGGAAGTAAGGAGCAAAGCTTCTAGATCAGGTCCTAGATTATGTCCTATAGAAAACAGTGGTCTGTCTATCAGGACCACAAACCTATATACCAATAGAGGCCAGCCTAGGATTGTAAATGAGCGAGTCAGGTTAGATAGGGGCTGTGCAAACAAAGAGTTTATATTACCTCTAAATGAAACAGCCACACAAAGCTCCAGTTAACTTTTGCCAAGTTGAATTTAAAACCAATGTTGTCATTATCATCCACTTTTTAAAAGAAGTAGATCAGTATATTTATTTCAATCTCCCAATTTTTAAATACTAGCAGTTAAGAACAATTTGACACTCTGTAAGTCAATCAAATCACAACACATCTGTGGCAGAGACTAGTTGGAAAGCCATCAATTCAGAAGCTCTGCTGTAAACCTTCTTTACTTAGACAAAGCAGGATATGACTGAGGAGTAAAAAAAAGGCAACATTATGCCTTCTTGTGTTTTTGGTAGCATTTCTTTAACTTTGAACAACCACACTTCAAGTTTTAAATAAATGGAAAGAATTGTGGAGACCAAAATAAAGAAAAATTAAGAGTGTGCTATTTATGAAAATATTAAAATTGATAAATAACATTTATTAATAAATTACAAATACTAATTACCTAGTTTTATTTTTACCATTTAAAACTCAAGGGGATGGAACTGCTTAATGCAGAAAACAGACAAAAAAAATAGAAAGAACTAACCCATTTCTGGATTCTAAGACAACTAGGCTGTCAATAACAACAATGTTTCCTACAGAAAAAAAAATATTTTTAAGGCAAGCAACTTTATAAGTTTATCAAATATATGTGAAAGTAAAAAATGTTGTAAAAGGCTCAGAAAAACATCTGCCAGACACTGCATCACTTAATATAACATGAAGGCAAGTACAAATGGAAGATGCTCATCTTCAGAAAGGTGTTCATCTCAGTGAAGATCCCCATTCACATGCTTGCAACTTCACTGAAGATTAGTAAAATTTTAAAATGCAATCAAATGTTATTATACTCACGAAATTGCTTCTTCTCTGTTTTCTCCCCAGGAGAAGCAGTGACCAAACTGAGAATCAGCAAATTCATGAAGACCCCCTGCAGCAGCAACACTGAAATAACCCCAAACATTCTTGTTGCTACGGAAATTCAGTTCCTGAACTGTTCCTGAGCTGGGCTTAAAACCCTGTTAGAAAATGAAGAATAGAGAGACCATACTATATTTCGAAGGAGGAGAATACTTAGAAATTCATTGTTTAGGTTCTGTGTTAATCACACACAAAAGAAGTGATTCACAAAAATCAAAATGGCTTGAGCCAGTACCCAGTATTACAGACTCACAAACGATCTCCTTGGTAGTACATGGGGTTGAGTCTCAACACAATAAAGCAATCTGTAGCCACTACAGTACAGATTCAACTCTGGCCAGGGAGCCAACCCACATGGTGCAGCAGAGTTCCCCTGACCCGCCCGCTGCTCCCCTCAGCAGTGTACTTCAGTAGCTCTGCCTGTTCTGCTCCCCACTCTGTCTCTGGTGAATCTTCTCACCCCCCACACCCTCACACTTCTGACCTGCACCCCAGTTCTTCTATGTATAAATAAATAACTCTTTAAAAAAAAAAGTCAGACTTACTAAGAACTCTGTAGATTAATGTATAATTAAATAATCAAGGGAGAAAAGATCACTCATATGTCTGCTTTGATTAAAATCTCCACAAACTTCCCTCTCCAGAGGAAGTCCCAAATTATTTCAGAAGTATGCCCTCAAAACCCATCTTAATGTGAATGTTTACAAGGAATAAGAAAGTCTAAATCTTTTAAATGATGGGTTTACCTCATCTGGATTTTCACTAGTGATCCGAGCAGCAATAACATGGCCCCTTGGACAAGGAACATGAGCAGAATTTTCAAAATCAATGGGAGCATCACCCCAGGGAGATACACCATACATCATACGAATATCTTTGATTCTGTACAGAGGAATTCCCATGGCAATCTGAAAAGTGATAAAATACAAAATCAAGTATTTTCCACAGTTATTTTTGTTAAAATGGATAGGCTATCTGATTACCTAAAATTTTACATTTTAGTAGTCACCACCTAAAGCATTCTACTTTTACAGTCTATCATCATCAAATAAATAATCTTACTTGAAACAAAATATATCATTAAAGACAAGTTGCTAAGTACTTACACTTCTAAAAAGCTCCCAAATTCCTAGACTTAAGTTTCCATACACTTTCACTTATCCATCCATCAAGGGATCAGAATGAAAATATTCAAGGGAGGAGTCAATGTTATTAGTTAGTCAAGAAGTTCAGATAACTAAGAAGTTATAATTACCCCCCTTGCCCGCTCAACTCACTAGAAGAAGTAAATACATCCTTAGTCTTGAGTGAAAACATAGAAGATGTTACCAATATAGACAAAGAATAAGATACAAATACATCATATCAAACCTCACTACTAGCTATTACTGCTTCTCATAGAGTTTGTTTTATGGATTAATGGAGTCATTTATACCAAGAACTTGCACTATAAACACAATAAAAATAAACATGTGCTGCCATAGCCTGGCCAGAGAAATCTTGGCATCACTCTGGAACTGCTTTGATATAGAACACTAATAAAAGGAGTAGAAGATAGTTACAAAATTATAAAGATTTTACAATTAAAGAAACTGAATAAAGCTATTATTATTTCAAAAGTTTTTCTGAAACATGACAGTTTATCAGATGTATTTGGCTAAAAATATAATACTATTACTAGGTTTGTACCATATCAGAATGACCAACCCACATCACAACCCCAAAAAGCACAAGATGAGTATTAGATGAGACCCAGATCAGAAATGCCATTCTCTTTATCAGACATTGGCTAAACCAGTTTTTCAGGCATCTCTGATATCCCTAACTTCTCTAGGCAACTCTGAGCCTACAGAATAGGGTGACTCACCTGGAGTTGTGCTGCAGGGAGGTTGACATCTGCCACCATCTCTGTACAAGGATGCTCTACCTGTAGTCGAGGATTCAGTTCCAGAAAGTAGAAGCTGCCATCTTGGCTATAGAGGTATTCCACAGTTCCAGCACTCACATAACCAACCATTTTGGCAAGCTTTACAGCACACTTGAAGAATGATAAGCAAACATTAACTATTTCACCTTATACAACTGGTGAACTATTATTAATCTATTGCCTCAAATACCAAATATTTATAAAAGCCACCAAAGGCATTTAGCCACATGAGAACAAATTTCACACTTTCTGATTATTATACAAGGTCCCTGGACAGGGATGACAACTTCAATTCAAAGTTGGCGGGGGAAGAGTGTTTTTCACTTAGGACTACAGGAACTTCATCCTACTAAACATAAATACATACAGGAAAAAAAATACTGTGGCACACTCTTCGTGGTGTCCTAGTTATTAGTATTCCTAGTATTCTCCTTAGAAATGAGACGAGGTTTTCCAACCTCTCATAGCAAATAACTAAGGTTTCACCAATATAATGATAGCATCAGTGAGGGTCACACATTACTCTGATATCATGTTTTGAAAGGAAATTGTTTGTTCTCTATTCCTGGCTTTTCCCCTTCAATGAACAGGAACACGGTCATGACAGTGCAAACCAGTTTCAACCATGCATATGAGAACACACTTAAGATGGCAAAACAAAACAGAAATCCCCAAATTTTCTCATGGAGTAGAAGTTGTCCAGCCTTGGACACCTCAAGATTATGATGGGAAATAAACATAAACATCTGTCTTATTTGAGTCATTGTACTTTATTAAAACTGCTTAACCCATATCTCAATTAATACAAAACTTACTAAATTCAGGCAGAGTGCTTCTACCTTAAAAAAAATTAAATTAGCAATAGGGCACTGCAAACTGAGAAGTTGGGGGCCTCCTCGTTAAGTAAAACAAAGCACTTGGTTAACTACCCCCCACAATTACATGGAATGCAAGCAACATATGAACTAAGCCCTAAGAGAAATTATTAGAAAAAGTCATAATGTGAAAACGCCATCTACCTTTGTAACCCAAAACCAGGAGATTAGATTCTCACACCTGAAGAAAGCTAGTGTCAAAGACCAAATTAAGGGTGCTGCTGTTTTAGTTTCAGCTGACCTCAAATTAGCCAGATTTAAATTAAGGAGAGATAGCGATGGGTTACGCACAGAAAACAGTCAATGAGAGGAAAAGTTTCTATATCTAATAACTTGAGATCATCCTGAGGCTGACAAGAACAAATAGTACAGAACCTTACTAAGTTTAAAAGGAACTGAATATCTAGACAAACTGCAAACTTGATCTTCAAAAGCCTATAACTGAAAACTAGAGTCGTCTTTGTGGCCCCAATACTGTACCAGCAAGAAGTAAGACATAAAAGTGCTCCAAAGAAAGTAGTCTCCAAAACTCATACAAAGAAAACTGAAGAAAGCCCTTTCCCGAGAACAAAGCAGGTGCCTTGATAGATGATGGGCAAGGGATTTACTTAAGGGAGCAGAACCAGGGGCAGTCAAGTCAGTATAAGATGAGGGTTGAAGTCTTACTCCACTGCATGCAGGAAATCATCATAATTCCTGCATGAAAGGATTCGAAGGTTGCTATGTACCAAAAATAACTATTTTTCATTCTTCTTTTTCCACATGGAAGTTATCTGTTCCTATTACATAACTTTATATGGGTATGTAAGGGAAGAAAAATTGACAAGGGTCACTGGTCCATGAAAAGTCACATGCACATTTCATGGAGAAGACTGTTACCTAGAGACTTTGGACTTCAAGCTGAATATAAGTAACTGGATGGGACTTTGGGCTGTCTTTGGGAAAAGGTTAAGTATGCTCTAAGAGTAAGAAAAGGGGTGTGAAAGGTTAATGGGTAGCCAGAGAAGCAGACTGAGGTATAGATTACTAAATGCCCTTCAGCAATTTTTCTTTGCTTCATCCATTTAGCAACACTCTCCTGAATTTCAGCTGAATATATTGTCATCCAGTCAGTGACTATAATTCCTAATATCTCTTGCAGCCAGGTATGATTGTGTAACTCCATTTTGTCCACTGGAATGTGAACAGAACTAAATGTTTGACCTTTAAATCACACACACACACACATATATACATATATATGTGTAGGTATACATATGTATGTATTTGTGTGTGTGTGTGTGTGTGTGTGTATTTTTTAAGGTTTATTTATTTATACATACAGAACGGGGTACAGGCCAGAGATGTAGGAATGAGAGGATTCACCAGAGGCAGAGGGAACAGGTAGACTGACTGAAATACACTGCTGAGGGGAGCAGCGGGCGCATCAGGAGGGGTCTGCCACGCTATGTGGGTCACCCGCATGGTTGGGTATCGAACTTGTACTGCAGTGGCTGCAATAGTTTCAGAGTGCTGTGCTTTAACCTGTTGCGCCACTAGGGAGGGCCTTAAATCAAATTTTTATAAGCTTGTCCTTCATGTCCACCCTTCCCCTCCCACAGGCTATGTGAAATCATCTAGTAAACTAGTCTTAATCAGAAAGATGATAACCCAGGGCAAGGGTTGTGTAACTTTTCTGGAAAAGAGGTTAGAACGTAATTCACTTCAGCTTTGTGGGTCACATTATCTCTATCACAACTACTCAACATTGTCACTGCAAGGACAAAGCAACCATAGATAATAGATTTTAAGAGGATTTTCAAAAACAGGTCACAGGTTAGGTTGACTTGCAAGCTATGGTTTACCAACTCGTGTCCTAAACAATGGGAGAGCAATACAACTGGGTCTCTGGCACTGGTTCACCTCTGAATTATGAGAGACAGAGAAATAGAATTTATTCTTGTTTAAGTCATTCTAACCTCAAGATCTCTCTTTTATAGAGTGCATCTTATTATACACACACATTTATTAATTAAAATTCTAACACAGATGATATATATTTAACTTGTTTGAAATTCAGGAGGAAAAAAAAATGGAAAATATATCTTCAATCAGATGAAGACTAAGCTGCAAATCCATGTTCAAGGAAGACTTTAAGACTGCCGTAATGCTTTTTATAGCCCAAAAAAGACTTATTATATATAGTATATTATGAATAGATATCATATATAATAAAAAACATGTATTGCAT